TCAGTTTTAGAATACAACCAGCAACCTTTCCCAGCTACTCTCTGCCTGCGGAGCATCTTCTCCTGATTTGTTTTCTCACTTTGGAAAGGTATCCATACCCACCTTTTCTCTCAATCAGGTAACGGCCCTGAGTCCTGAAAGCTTTCCAACTTCCCTCGTTTTGTGTGTCTATTGCTCTCACAGAGCAGCTCCTGACACAGGGGTAGGAGGTGCCTGACGTGGGTAGGAATTTGCCTGAGTGAGAAACAGATGTCCTGACCCAGGAGTTATTCATGTCCTTTTAAAGCTCCCATGTATGAAGCTTTTATCTCTCCTTAACTGAGCAAACTTCCCAAACCTCTCCCCAGCCTCCCTTTGAGGCTGCCTGGCAGGCGGGCACCGCATGGGCGCTCAGCCTCGCAGGTAGTTTTCATCCAGGAAGCGCCCCAATTTGTGCTATTCACAACCCCCAGGGTACTATTCTGTTTCCAGGCTCCTAATCCCTCTTACACACACAATCCCTTACAACTTTAACTGGCGGGGTGGAGGAGCAAGTTAAAAAGGAAGGAAAAAGGAAAATGAAACACAATGTACAGCCAGGCAGTGGCTGCCAGTTACGGGGCACACAATCGACACCAGCTGCAAGCCCAATTAAACCCCACATTCACAGGTGTTCCCAGCACACTCGGCGCTAACAAAACCACTTTCTTGAAAATACCTAAGGCTTTAACACAGAAGCTCGTTTCTTTTTTTTTTTTTTTTCCCTTTTTTTTTTTTTTTTAAGATTCTTTAAAGCTATTTAGAGCACTTTAAATACAAAGAAGCTGAAAAGGACTTTCAGTCCACGGGAAAGAGTTGGTGCTTAATGCCAGAATGGGGAAGAATCGGCCGGGCTGAATCATCCAATGTAACCATTGGTTTCGGGAGAAAGATGGGTTATGCTGAATGCTGTTTATTCAGGGAACAGAAACTGGTGCCGGGGGTGTTATTGTTGCTGGGAGTGAAATGGGGAAGGGGGGAACGGCTAGGTGTAAATCCATATCTTCTGGGGACTCATCATGGTCTGCACTGTGGCTGTGAGCTTGTGTGTGGCTTCGCTTCTTACCGATCTGTGTGTGTGTGGTTCAGACAGCAAATTTTAATTCTCCTTCCCTCCCAGGGTAGCTTGGTACTGTTGTATTTTTGACTTTGAAGCAGGATTCTAAAAGTTGTTTATTTTCTGATCTTAAAGCACTCCTACAGGTGATAAATCAGTCCTCTAAAAAAAATAATATACTGTTTTTCATACATGAATTCAAAATTATTCCCACGCTAACAGATGACTGCAGACAGCAGATGAATGCATAGCTCAGTAACATGCTCTCACTTCATTGAAAATGCGAATTCTATTTGTTAATCTTTCATTTATAATGATAATAATGATCAAATTAGGGGATATTGTGGTACTCACAGGTTCAGTGGCACTCAGCCCCACCTGGCTGGCTCTTGATTGCTGCAGTAGCACCCACAGTGTACTTACAGCTTAATTACCTGGTGTCTGGTCTGGTGCTGTGTAATCACTGTTGTTTCTGACAATCACTTCATGTCTTCATTACTGCCTTAGCAGTGGGTGCTGAAAGCCACTCTGTATTCAGATGCAGTCATAATATCTATTTTGTCCTTCCATAGAGCGAGCTGCAGTTTTGCCTTTAGAACAAGTCTAGGACATTTTTCTTATTCCTCACAACATGCAGAGATCCAAAAGACTGGTCTTCTATTTGTCTTTTTTTTTTTTTTTTTGGTTTACTGAAAAGGTAAAAATGGTGATCTCTTGTATTTGTATTTGAAATTCGTTAAGAATTACCTTGCAGGTAGGTAATGTTAGCTCTCAGCATTATTTACAGAGGCAGGCAGAGGCTATGCAAGCTGCTAAATGCAATGGGGAAAAAAGAAAATCGCCCAGGCTTCAAATTCACAAGTATCCAACGTAAATTCAGTATGGTCACTTGGGAAAAGGTGCTGGAGGCAGCGTGGATAATTTTCTGAGAAAAATCATCTCGGCACTAACACAGTGATAGGAAAGGAACTGCAAACAACCCAAGGACACAGCTATGGCCTGGTATGGCCCCTTCCATGCCCTGCATGGCTTCAGCCACTCAACAGTGAGAGGACAGGGCAGAACTAGCCAAGACAACATGGGATAGGAGGAAAGATGGACAAGTTGTGAAGGAGCAAGGACCAGATCACTGGGGACTCTTCAGCTTGCAAAGATTTGACTTAGGAGATGAGATAAAACTGTAAAATCACTGATAGTATAGGGCAAGTAAACAGGGAAGAACGGATGAGTCACCGTTCTCATAACACAGGGATTATGAGGCACTTGCTGAAATTACCAGGTTTAATACAAACAAAAGTGCTTTTTCATACAAGGCATGATTAGCCAGTGACACTCCATACAGGGTGATGTTGTGGCGGCCAAAAGGAGAAAGGATTTAAGAAAGTCACTGGGCAAACTCACCAAGGATAGGCCTGTTGCAAGGCTTTAAAACTGATGATCGAGATGTAACCTCTGGATTTGGAGTGCTGCTAAGCCTGGGAATGATCCATACCTTGCTGCAAAGCTGCAGGTCTTCTTCCTTTGCTGTCAGTCAGCCCCTTCTGCTGCCTTCCCTCTTTGCCTCACTTGACCCGATCTAGAGAAATAACATTTAAAAACCCTTCAGTTGCTCCACCTGGTAAGAAATGTCCTAATGTGACTGTGACAACAAATATCCATGAAAAACCAGTGACCTTAGGCCAATAACATGGCAGATTTCACCAGATGAATTCACTCTCACATCACTGTGGCTACACCACTACTTGTGTTTGCTTTCCACGAGTGATTTAGCTTTACCAGCTAGTGAGAATGCTTGCGAGGAGGGGTTTTTTTATAGTTTGCATACTTGTACAAAGGAAAATAATCAAACTTGTCTTGTTGAATCTCTTACTTCAGAAACCTGATCCTCTGGGTTAGCCAAGGAATGGAAACAACACCATGTGACTCTGTGACCAGACATGAGGGCCCGAATTTTCAACACTGTACCATAATATCTGCTGTTTATTGCTCAACAATAAAAGATTTAGTCCACAAAAATTCTGAGTGCAGCCAGAAAAGAGAGAACAATAATTCATGCCTTAAAATTCTTTCATTGTCCCTTAAAAACATCTGACATGCTTTTGAGAACCCACAGACAATCTAGTTTTCTGCTGCTTCCTCACACCTAGTGGTTTTCAGTTATCACAGAATTTATGGTTCGGTCTTTAGGAATAAAATTAAAACAAAAAAAATCCTTTGGGGGTTAATTATCATCACAGTTACTACCAACAGTATTGTCAAAGCATAGAGAAAACATGAGAGCATCACCAGAACTATGAGCTTATGGGCAAATTCCTCATGGGTGTATCTGTACAAATGAAATGGGAAGAAATAAGACTGACAGCGGTGTCCTTTCGTTTTTGGATCTGCCAACTTGGTAGTGTTTCCTTCAGCTTCTCCTTCGGTAAAACATAGCAGCTCCTAGCAACTCTTGTTAGTGACACCCTGCTTCATCATATTGATGTTGTGGGTGGGTGATGGTCTCAGAGAGAACAGGGTGGTCAAAACCTGCTGTACTGCATTTGGGTTTGGTTTTTTTAATAAAGGTCTCTTCATTTTGTGGAAAACTTGTCCTTACTGCAGTTTTTATCAAGGGGAAATGGACCCCTCTTGAATACCAACAGGGGTTCAGAGCCCAGGATGCTTAGGATCTGTTTTTCCATCCACAGTCTTTTGAAAGAGTGGTAGGCAGGGAGGGCGGGGGGTTGGGGTTTTTTTCTTTTTCTTTAAGTAGCTTAACATTCGGGTTAGAGGTGGGGACACAATCACACTGTCTGCCTGGGGAAAAGCCTGCACGGAAAGACCAAGGTTAACTTTCTGGATGATGTATTCCTTATCTCCACAAGAAGCTGGTGCACTAAATCTCAGCTACTCTTCCGTGTTAGGCTGTCTCTGAAGTCCTGAAAAGCATTAAAATGCGTAACAGCAGTGTTTAGCTTCGCTGCTCATTAGAACAGCACAGAACTAATAGTAATATTGTTGTAACTTGACAAAGCCATCTAAATCCATGCATGTTTTCTTGTGAAAGCTTCCTAAACATGCTGCTAAATCCCCTAAAAAGCTACTAAAGGGCTTTGGCAACCATTAGCAGAGCATAAGCGGGGGAACTCCTTTCAGTAAGTGAACAAACAGAGAAAATATGCTGAATAGCCGGACAAATGTGTTTCAGCTGGCTCTTTCATTTACAGATATAAGGCAGCAGTCAATATCAATCACTGTTTTCCCTGTTGCACTGGAAATCACAATATCTCTTTTCATTCCACAAGCTCCTTTCACCACAGTAATGTGTCTTTGGAGTGACACTGGCATCAGTCTGTTTCCGCTGTCTGAAGTCCAGAGAGCTTAAAAACACATTGCAGGGTATGAGACCTTAACCCTCCTCCCCTTCCACACACCCGTCTCCTTCGAGCCTTCCTTTCGGAATTAATTGTTTTTACTTCTTTCCCAGTGCGAAGCTGAGAAAGAAAAGTGCCCACAGAGCCTGGGAATATCTGCTCTTGCACTTTGGGGACCGAAAAACGTGTGGCTGGTGTTTGGGGTTTGAATTTATCAGGTGTTGTGGGGAGTTTAACACAAGGCAATACGATTAGCGAGTTAATTTGCAACATGCTGTAATATGAAAGGTAATGTTACTGCGGTTTGAATTTCGAGCTATATCCTGTTTCTTGGATGTCCTAATCACCCACAACCTCATTTATTAAACAAAAAAAAAAGTTGGAAAAGCTCTACTTGTCAGTATCTGGCATTTGGAGTGTGTTGATGATCTTGTGTTTGCTTTCTTCCTTTCAAGTAATATATTTTTTATTATAATAATAATATATAATAATAATAATAATAATAATAATAATAATAATAATAATAATAAAAAAACACTATGTGGTTGTGTTTCTTTATTGTTTCTTTGCAGATAACAGCAGTCTGTAGAGAAGCAGCTCTTCTGGCTCTCCAGGAAGACATCCATGCCCAATCCATCATGGGACGGCACTTTCGGTGCGCGCTGACTGTCGTGACCCCGAGGATTCCCGACTCGTTGATCCAGTTCTATGCAGATTATCAGCAGCAGAGTGGACTGCACACGCTTTGAGAGGCAAATTAATACACACACAAATTCACACACAGTGTGAATAGCAAATTTCCTTCATAAAACTGTCAGAAGCCAAAGAATTTTGTATTGTGAGTGGAGTATCTAAAGTTAATTAAACGCAGAATTGTTGTAATAGAAGTCTGCGTGGAAGTTTTCAGTGTAATAGATATTGTCCTAAACTCCATATTTTACCATTTCAGTGGTATAAACTGCATTTTACAGGTAGTAAGATTGCTGATTTAATTTAGTTTATCTCAGTGTATATCTGCGTATAAAAAAAAAATTATCAAATTCTGAACTTTTGGGGGATTCTTGGCCCTAAAGAGAGAACCAACAAGTGCCATTACTGTCTTCATTTGTTCCTGCCTCAGCCACAGTTTAATCCCAGGGACCATCCCAGTGAGGCACAGACCTGGGGAGTGGCCTCTCTACAAAAAATGCTGAAAATTATTGTGACTCTTTTGATTTATGATCTCCAACAAAGCTGCCAAACAGGCTTTCCGAGATAAAGCTGAAGTATCCTGATTGATTACAGCCAAACATTTATCTTTGGTCTTAACCAACTCCTGTTCAGACATACTGGCAAGCAGGCCATACCCTAAAACCTGTCCATCCCTTGACTAACCTGAACCCACAGCGGAAGATTTTTGTTGCTGATGTTTGTTTCCATCAAAATAAATAGGAATGTTGATTGGTAATTTAAAGCTGGCCACTTTAAAGAATGCTAATTAATGAATAAGAAAACCTCCTTGCAAAAACTGCTACAAATGACCACAAAATACTTGGGGGATGGATAAAATCTTTTTGAGTTATTTCTTTGTTACATTGTCTTTTGAAACGGTGACAGGTCCTTGTGGGCTCTCTGCTCTTGCACTCAGGATGAGATGCAGTTAAGCAAACTAATATCCAGGTTTTTTTCCCCACAACAGAAAGACTGAGCTTTTCCATTCCAGACATAAAAGGTAGAGGGAAAGGTAAACCAAAACCAATCCAAACCTTAAAAAAAAAAAATTAAAAAAAAAAAGGTGACAAGAACCTGAAATTCAGTGGGTAATTCTGCGTTTTCCTGGTGTTTTGCAGGTAAGTAGAAGAATTTACAGGTCAAAAATTTATTCAAATGCTCCTTTCATTTGTTGAAGTAAACAAGAAATGACATTTCAGGCTTTAGGTAAGGTTATTTTTTGGGGTTTGTTTATTGATGGTTCTGAAGACTTTTCTTTCCTGCAGCCATTCTATATGTAATTATTTAGAAATTTATATAATTTTATGAGGAATTTGTATATCGAAGAGATATTTCTATGTTATTTATTTATCAGTATGAAATTTAAAGAGTAATTTCTTCACCTGGGTTATGGCTTTTCCTCTCCTTAGTTAGTTCCACTTTGTACACAGTTTGTAGCTTTTAAACAGAAATCTGCTATTTCTAAAGGACCATTTTTCTATTAGTTTTATGCTAACCTATTGTTTCTGTAATTAGCATTTAATTTTACCACCACTGACAAGGATTAAGGGATGAGGAAAAGCAGGTCATTTACTTAGTTCAGCTGATGTATGTGCAGGTTTTTTCTTTTTTTTTCATTGTTAGTCTCTTTAATAGTCCAAAAACAGAGGGAATTAAGAAAATTATAAACTGGAAAAGTTGCCTTGGAGATCAAGACTGCAACTGAAGCTACTTTAGTCTTCTTTTCTAAATTCTCTATACTCCAGCTTGGAGGTCAGGATGTGAACCATTTATCACAACCATTACATTTTTGATGTTTCCAAAAATTAAATGCCATACCTTTATCCCCTGGCACTTTACTCTGGTGTCTGTTCCTGAAGGGAGGAAAGAGAGACTGCAGTTTTTACTGCCAATAGTGAATTCTGTTTGTAATTTTGTAGCCTAAAAGTAACACTCTGCAATGCTCTATATGAGTAGCAAAACTATACAGCCATTCCTTTGGAAGTGCTCAGATTTATCGGGAACATGCACCAAGGCATGAATGTGAACTGAGAAGCTGCAAGACAGGCAGGTAGGAGCTGGCTGGCCTTTCCATTTGTGGACTCCTGCTGCCATCAGAGGGAATTTTGCACGTTGAATTTTAGGACATTTAGGACAGAAGGCTGGCCCACGTCTGTTGTTTGTGCCTTGGGAAAAAACCCCATCCCTGCAAACGTTTATCCTCTCACCCGCATGGTACCACATCTGTGGTACCGAATCTCGTGATACACACCTACATGCCTGAAACGATTTTGGATGCAGGAAGATCCCCTTTTTATCCTTGGGCTTGTGGAATTTGATTTTTGATTTTTTTTTTTAAAGTAAGGTATTCTTAAAAAAAAAAACATAGGCAATGACAAATTTTTGAAGTCCCTAGGTGTCTGTTGCTCCCAAAAGTTCTGTTCGGAAAACTTTGCCAGTCTGGCACCGCTCAGGATCTTAGTCCATCCCAAGCCACTGATAAACTGAGATTTAAAGAAAGGTACAATGACTCCCCATCTCATTCCTGATGACAGAACGCCGTTATCGTGGACTAGCAACTTGAAACCCACTTGTCAGAATTCTGAAAAAATAACCAAAAATTCATTTTTGGTCAAAACACACCATCACTGTAGTCCTTTCATAATCCAGTTTGGCGAGAGCTTTTGCACCCTGAGCCTCTCATTGGAACTTACTGATGAGGGCACTGTAGGACAGAGCACTCCAGAGGCATCTCCCATTGGCCTGTCATTTAAACAAGTGGGTTTTAGCTCAGAGCTGAACTTTTCACAGCGTGTTTTACTGAACACATCGTGCCTTGGCTCTGAATCAAATCTCTTGCAGTGTGGGGCCGTATAAGCCTGAACACCTCTGTGCTGCAGAATGAATCAAAGAGAGAGGTGTTCTCTCTTCTGCTGGGTTAATCACTGTTGTTGTTTGGGTGTTTCTATGAGATGTTATTTTAATAAAGTGATCAAGCCTCAGTGAGCAGAAGGCGTCTGAGAAGAACATCTATCTTTCTCCCATCCTCTTTTTAACTGAGACTTACTTCCTAGACTTCTTTACGTTCTTTAGAAACGGAGTCTTTTTGCTGCCTGCTATTATCTTTTGGAGCCAGTTTTTGGCCAAAATACTGCTTGAGTTGCAGAATTGTTACCTTTAAATCAAGCTTTCCAATGTTTCAGGCACATTTTGTTTAAATACAAAAATCTACCTTTTTCCTCCAATGACAACGTCTTGCAAAATGGCATAAAATGTCTTTTGACAGGTTTGCCAAAAATGACCAGGAGAATATTTATGATCAAAATGCAAAAATGTCTTTACTTTAAAAAAAAAAAATTAAAAAATCAGTCCTGTGTTCTCCTTAATGCATAAAACAGATTTTCACTGCACGTACGATATACAATTCTTAATCCTGGAAAAAGAATGAAGTTTATTGTGGATAGTTTTCCTGTAGTCTCTGAATGAGAGCAGAACAAACAGTTTACTCAGCTCAGGTGCGAGGAAAAACATCAGGGACAGAATAAAGATCGTTTTCAAAGGTGGTTTTTCAAAATCATTGAATTTAGACTTGTCAGCCCTTTCAAATATTATGTCCTTAAAGTGGATTTTTTTTGTGGTTTGTGTATGCTGGCTCTTTCCTTTTAGCTTCTTTACTCATTTTAAATGTCAGAGTGTGGTGATTCCCCTTCGGAAACTGGGCACGTGCCAAACATAATGCTCCTGTAACTGAGCATCCGTCCATTAGTGCTGCAGGAAGGCTGAGGGTGATGTTTCCTGGTGAAGGAGGCCTCAAACTCTGCTGATGGGGTGTGGAGAGGGGGAAAGAGGAAGCCAAAGTGTAAATCTGGTGTTTTGCCTGGGAAGATGAAGTTCAGTGATGGACACAAGTTTGTGGGCAGAAGAACTGTCTCTCCCTATTGCAACAGGTGAGTGTGAGGCCTGAGGGGCCTCACCCTGAAGGCTTTTGTTTGTTCCTGGCTCTGCCAGAGAAAACAACTGATGGGTAGGTGAAACAGTATTGTCAGGACTGGGGGTTGTGGTATCCCAGTATCTAGTGGTAGCTAGGAGAGAACTAAGGAGGAATTGTACCTGGAAGATGGAGTCACGCATGTGCCTGGAAGGCAGGCACCCACCGTCACAACCTTGGCAAAAGCCCCTGGGAGAACTAGTGAAAAACAGGCATAAAGAACTTGCCTTGCTTCCTGTGATCCCAAAGTTGGGATAAAACTAAACGTGTTTCCTCACCCTTCTGAGTTTTCAGATGACTCCTGCGCTGATGCAGTCAGGGCCATGGGAAGTGGCTTGCTGGGGGAGCAGAGGTACTTTTGGAAAATTGGTTTTTACATTGTGACCCTTTTGTATTTAATGTTGTTCTAGTTGCAGTGAATTGCAATAATTTTTGTCTCCTATGGACCCCAAAATCTTTTGCTTTTGCTGGTGCCTTTTTTATTTTCTTTGGCATGAAAGAAAACACCATAGCTGATGTAATGTGTGCGATTCGATAAGGAGCTTTCCCGAGGGAGTAGGTGCAAGAGGCATGTAGGATTGCAGTTGTAGTTGGGCATGTTTTGCATGGCAGGTTAACATCTGGAAGACACATATTCCAAGTGAAACCTACCTCTAATCTTGGGGTTTGTGTCTGCTGTTTCTGCTACCTGTTCATTCATTAATCTTCTCTGTAGCCTTGCGTTTTCACCAGGGCTTTATACGTTGTGTGTTAAATATTTAAAATGGTGTCATTCTTCCCTGCAGTCTTAAATCCAACAGCTCCAGAGCTCTGATAGGAGAAGGAGATGTGTGTTTTCTCTGTGGTGAGGGGGAGAGAGGAGCCCCGCTCTGTGTTTGCGTGGCAGGCCTCCAGCAAGAGCGCAGGTGTTGCAAGAGGAGGCAATGGCAACCAGATGACATTCCTTCCCCTTGAACTAGTGTGGAGCCATTGCTCAAACGGATTGTGGGTCCAGCAGTTGGACTGGATGATCTTAAAGGTTCATTTCCAACCTAAATGATTCTGTGATTCCTTCCAACAAAATTTCAGGCTAGCGTGTTGTCTGCACGTGCCTGTGTAAAATCCATGGCAATAGAGCTTGGATTCATCCAACTGAAAGATGAGAGGAGTAGAATCACTCTTGGCAAACATTGGAAAGATACTAGAAGATGGTCCAGAGAGTGATTTATCCTGGCTGAGAGCTAAACTACCTTTCTGGAGGTGCTGAAGGGGCAGCTGATGTCAAGAGAGGCCTTAAGCACTTATCTAGAGAAAGTGCCTTGAGGTAGATGAAAGGAATTGAGAGCAGCAACTCTCAAAATACTGAGAAAAATGTTTTATCAACTTGTGCAAATATATCCTGTTTGCATAAATGGTTCTGGAAATGCCATTGGTATCTTCCTCTCATACCTGTGTGTGTGGGGGATGGCAAGGTGCTCTTAACCACACACCCCCTGATTTTTTTATCTTCTTTACCAATACAGAGGAGTTTTCACATCCCTCTTTGGTAAAATGGCTCTGCATCAGCCAAGTGTGGAAAGGGCTCTGATAACCTTCAAGGTGAAACACTTGTCAGCTCTCACTTTATCCAGGAACGGATTATCTGGGCTGTGCAATAATGAGGTCATGTCTTTCCTCCACACTGCTGGCAAGAGCTTCAAATTTCACACAGGGGCAGCTGCTTACATCAAGCCTGCTCTGCTTAATGCTGCTTAAAGCTACCCCCCTTTCTGTCAGCGAGTTTTCCCCAAAGTGAGGGTGTGAAACGTGTTCACACAGCCTTGTTTGCAGGATGTGTGAGGGGGTTTCATGGTGCTTGGGTTGCTATCTTGCCCCAGAGTTGGTTGTGTTGGATGCAAGAGTGCAGGATGCAAGCAGCAGAATGATTTGTGTGTGCTGCTGCAGCAACAAACAGTGCCTGTGAGAGATGTAGAGAAGGATTTGGTGGGTGGCTGGACCAAAGCCATGCAGCCCTTTGCAGGTGAGTGTCCCATCCTCAGCTTGCTGCACTGCCTCGGGTCTAAACCTGCAGCTTTAATGCAGAGCTGTTGCACTGAGAGTGGCCAGGGACATGAAAGATCCCTAAAGCACACAAGTTGTGGGTGTTAAAGCCTATGGGTGCTTAAGTAGATTAGCAAACAAACAAATCCTTTAATATTCTGGAATGCTTCCTCACCACCTAAGTAGGGATTATTCCACCAAGCCAGCAAATTCTACCCTTCTACCTAGTGTATAGTCTGCCTTGCAGATAACTGTGCTGTTTAATAAGCAGTTCTCTCAGGCTAAAAAAATTCATGTAATTCCACTTAATCTAAAAAAAAAAAAAAAAAAGAAGAAAAATATGAAAGCATATTGCTTCAAGAAAAGTACAAAAATGGCAAAGACACCTGTTAAAAATGTTCAAGACCTCGTGAAAATTGAGGTTACTACAGTGCTGGCAGTAGCACATGTAGGATGCTGCACCAGAAAGGTCCCTACAGCAGAAAAACATTAGTCTTAAAATTTGTTTTACAGAACTCTCCACCCTTTTTTTGTACAGATATGTGACATAGCTCACCCACCACTTTCTTCCTAGCACTGTAAAAACCTTAGTTAAACTGTCAGCTTTCTATCTGAAACATGTAGAAACAACTGGTTACCTTGGTCTGATTCCACTTCCAGGCTTTCATCATCTGTAATTTTGGTAAAAAGCTGCTTTTGTTGATGTGTAATGCATCATAGTAACCGGTTACACTTTTACTACAAAAGGGTGTTTTATTTTCCCGAGGGATGAATAGTAATCAAGGATCAGCTGGTAGTGCCAAGTGCCTTGATAACACAATTGGCTGCATACAGCTTTGTTAGGCCCCTTCCTGAGCTTGCCGGGGAGACTTCAGAGAAGATGTTGGGAAAACTGTTCTTTACCTACTTGGCTTTTGGGGAGCTGAATTTTGGGATCATTTTGTCTGCTGGGTGAGAAGGTAAGCTCCTGCTTTGAGCACGTGAAGCCCTTACTGATTAATGATGGTGAGGGGAGGGTGGGAGAGGAGAACAGATAGAGAGCATGCTTGAAAATAAACATGTGATTTGGGAAAACTACCCCGAAATTAATCACTGTCTGATTTTAATGTGGAGAGGTGAGGGGGCTGATGGAGTTGGAAGGAGACAGAAAGTGGGAATACTGATTCTAATCACAGTAGGGGCTGATTTGTGTTATTTTGATGCTGATTTAGGTGAGCTGGAGGAGGGCTACAGTGACCCTGGCCCTGTGGTAGGAAGTATCTCACTGCTAAGCACAGAGTGGAATCTCTCTTTGATCTCATTAACCCCATCAGCACTGGATTAGCAGATGTGTTTCTGGAGCTTGACTCTCTCAGACACTTGAGGTATATAGAAGGTGGCAGAGATTACTTCAGTAGAAAAAGGTAAGACGTAGATTCTTCTCTTCTGAATTTTTCAGAAAATTTAGTATCTAGTCGAGGTATCATGAGGGAGGAGGGGAATTGTTCCCCTTTTCTCGATGAGAAGAGGATATGTTGGGAGAATAAAAATCTAAGAAAAAGCAGGGAGGAAGAGAGAGGAGTAGAAAGCATGTGTGGACAGTTTCCTCCTTTCTTCAAAGTCTGCTCATTGTTTGTTTCTAAACTCCACAAGAAAAACAATGAGATGGAGAAGAAGGAAAACCCACAGCAACAATAACAGGAAGAGCATCTTGGAGATGGTTTTGCACAAAGGTGGGCTTTATGTCTTGCAGTCAGTTCTGTTAGGACTGGACTTAGCCTGAATTTTTTGGGAATAGTCAATATCCTTAAGTGCCCTATAATTTTAAGCTGGATTTATCCTAATGCATTGTCTTGGGAAGAAGGGACACAACCACAGAAGCTGAGACCAAGCTGTGCAGATCACTTTGAGATTTCTGATTAAAGAATAGAATATAAAAGTAAAGCTCTGTGTTAGCTCTAAAATTCCACTGTTACATCAATTAAAGATCCCCCTTCATGACCTTCATCGTGGTGTGTGTGAAGGGAAAACAATGGTGGTTGTGGCTTGCTGAGACCCTCCAGTTGTAGCACACTTGTGCTGTCTTATGTGAGGGCTGGAAACAAAGCTCATATAATAACCTCAGGTTTTTAATCTCTGCAAAACATAATTAACTGTTTGAAAGGGTGGTTGGAGGGTTAAGCTAGGAAGAATAGACTAGTAGTATAATAACATCTATATTAAAAATAAAAAAAAAACCCAACCAACCAACACAGATGCAACGTGTTATATAATCTGTATTAAACTTGCTCTGGGAAACCCTCCAAGAGCCAGTGTCAGTCTCCATTTTGTACAAGTCTGTACATAACCTCTATAAGAATTCGTGTGAAGTTGGGTGGGGAGACAGTGAAAGAAAAAGTCAGAACAGAATGTAGCCTGACCGAAGTCTTTCTGTGGCGGCGCGCTCAGAGCAGGGACGGAGGGACCTTTGTTCCTTCGCGGGTCTTTCCACCAATCCACCCCCTTGGCACAGGAGGTTTCCAGAGCATTGTCCCTGGCAGTGAGCTTCCCAGTGCCATCACATCTCACTCATCATCAAGAAGCAGTCTGAAAGGCTTCTAGGTGTATTAACCTCTTAGGTAATTACTGGTTTGAGATGTTATGTTAAAAAATAGCCACCCTTCTCTCAGCAGGGTGCTGCTGTGCCTTGGGAACCATTTAGTGTGTTGTTCCTGGCCCTGTCAGCCACACACACGGTGCCTATCAGCTTGTGTTTGTTGCTTACAGATACAGCAATTAATTTAATGACCACTAATAAATATTATATATAATAATAATAATAATAATATATGGACCATGCCACAGAGCGAGTTGTTTTCCAGGAGCTCGGTCACTGCTTATGTTACCATTCACTTACCTCCAATCAGAGACTAACTTGGAGCAAAGTTTGAAGCATGTTGTTTGGATACAGGGGGAAAAGGTGCTGAAAACAGAGGAATTATAGTAATATATCCTTTTGTGAAATGTCAAAGAAGCTTTTAACACATTTCTGACAAAAGACAAATCCATCTGCATCGATCTACTCCTCCCACTGAGCTCCTGTCAACTTCTGTTCGGTCCTTTCCACTGTCCTCCTTCCCTTGAACTACTGTCATGACACCTTTGGAAGCCATTTCTCTTAATAGAGACATTGTAATGCTGCTTCCTTCCCATTCCCTGCCAGGAAGGATTGTTTTCCTCAAGCAGCAAGTAGCGCTGAAAATATTGATGATGTGGAAGTGATTTGGAACATGGCACGTTTCCCCAAACAAACAGGTGATGCAGTAACATTCATAAGCTTTGGCTGAGGTGTCCTGTCCAGTGAAGGCAGTGGGATATCCAGAGAAATGGGTAAGGAGATCAGGATTTGACTTTCCTGCTTTCATTTGCCTAAGGCCAGACTTTCTCTGATAAAAGATATGAAGTTCTCCTCAGGGAAGCAAAACTGTGATAAAGTGTATTGCAAAAAGTTACATCGTGTTTGGCTTTGCAAGCAGCTCAGTTGGTCTCCAAGAATTTGACTTTTCAGTGAGGCTGTGACACTCATTTTGTATTATCAAGATTAAAAATGCATTTAACCTTTGTGAAGTCCACAGCACTGGGAACTCCAGTATCTTTATTTTTAGCCAGAACCTGACTGAGCAGCATTGTGATTTCACTTGAAATCAAGTGAAATACACTGAGAAAATATTTTTTTCGGTTTTTTTTTCTATTAGTTCAAAGCCTAAGTTTATAACAGAGCCAATGGGTGAGCCATCTTCTGTCTTAACTATCTTTAATAGCTACAGTAGAGCTAGTTCAGCTGTTCCCCAAGGAACAAATTTGAAGTAAACAGTGAATAATTCCACATTTAATACATCTCTCACATTTGCTTTGCATCTTTGTAGGTACAAACCAGTATACATAAGGGCATCTGAGTACCTAACAGCACATGGAAAGATGGATATGACTTAGGAAATGCATACCTTGGAAGTTCTCAGCTTCTCAGATTGCTTTTCCTGACATGTTTTTTCCTTTCAACCTCCCTTTTCTTTGCCCAGGGAGGTTAGACAATAGGAATTCTCCCTTCCTGCCTTAGAAAGAACTCTCTGATCAAATGATTCTTTCTGTGTCTTTCTAAGAAGTGCTGAGCACTGTTACTTTAAAGCAGTTGGTACCCTGGAAAATTAAGTCTCCGGGAGCTAATGAGTCTGCAGGAGTGTTTGTAATTGATTCGAAGTTGTTGTTTTTTCATGTGGCAAGTTTAAAAAATACAGCAAATGGTTTTGAAAGGTAATTCTTGACACCAGTCCAGCTTCAAAAATGTTGTTTTCCATTTACTTCCCATGTTTCAAACTGTTTGTGTGTGATGAAATATGAGTAGTGCTACTGCTGTGCTCTTGCAGACTTGTGGTGAGAGATCTTTTCCATGTCTTTTCAACCATAAAAGAGAAAAAGAAAGGTGTGGTGTTGGTTTGTTTGGTTTTTTTCCCTGTACAATACCCTCAGCATAGACTCAGAGTATGGTAAAATATTCTGAAAATTGGATCTTACTTGCATAAGGTTTAAATTTTGTGAAAATGGGGCATTTGGAGGAGAATTAGAAAAGTCATGTCAGTTTGCTATGAGGACGGAGTGGTGTTTAAGTTCTAACAGATTGATGTTTAGGTTTTGATAATTGCCCTCTGCAGAGCTGAAATCCAGCCTGGTGATGACAGGTATTTCACTACTTTGAGAGGAATGGACATAAATAATAGCTGAGCAGTTGACCTCAATATCTGCTGAAGCTGAGGACGACTTTTTTTAAATACCCAGAGGTCTCTGTCTGGCCTTCCATGTAGAAAAGACTAGAACACACGGGGGAACTGTCATCAGGGATTTTTTTTGTTTTATTTAATAAACAGGATGTGGAATTACTGCAAACGCCAGGCAATGATGTCCACAGTTCTAAGCTAAGATAAAATGTCCTTTCTGTTTTTCAGCTGGGCACACTTGGCAATTTTGTCTTTATTCAGAGGCTTTTTAGGTTGGATTATGCCACTGTAAATCTACATGAATAGCAACAGTGCAGTCCCTCCCTTGTGAATGCTTCAGTATTCCGGCAACGCTCCAAGAACTGTCACCTTGCAGTAGCATCGCTGCAGTGTTCTGGAAGGTTAGTGGGTTACTTTAGGGGGAAATTCCATTTTCTGCATAGATTTTCAAAACTGCTGACCTGGGGAAGCAATAGATACAGGATCCTCATCAGGCTTTGAGGTGCTTTAAGCAGGGTACATTTCAGTAGTAGGTGTGACCTTTATACTTCGCAGTTCTTTTTGGCTTCTCAAGAACAATGTTTAATTGGTCGCAGAGAGAAACAAGAATCACAGGAGTGGTTTCAAAATAGAGGGTTCTTGAGGGAATGGAAGAGAGGGGCCACCCCCCTCCCCAACACACACACACACAGAGCTTTTGGTGTCATAACCTCCCCGTGTTAAGTGTGTGTCTGTACACGTCCTCCTGGGTGAGAGCCAGCAGGAGAGGCAGTGCAAGCGTTCCCTATGGCTTGTGTGGAATTGGAGCAGCACAGCCACAGCCTGTCTCCCACCCCGATGGAAATGAGGGGGGTTTACATCAGCAGCGTGACAGTATGTGCATGGGCATGTGTGTTTTATGTTCTTCACTGTCAAGGGTTTTCCCAGTTCTTTTTGGTGGGAGAAATCTGGCCCTTTCAACCCAAAAGCTCTTGAGGGATAGTATTTTTTAATAGTATCTCCAAAATGAAGCCTCCTGACTTCATCAATCCCAAAGGAAACCGGTAATAACTTTGATTTCCCTAGGAGCAGAATCCAGCCCTTGATACTGAATAGTCCTTGGCAGGTAGTTTTTGTTATTATAGAGCACAATTTAAGGTGTGACTAGCAAGCTCTCCTGGAATACAACAGACCACATCAAACATGCAAGGGGCCCTTGACACTTGAATTGCCAAATGCAAAATAGAATCTGTCAGAGAAGTAAGACAGAGAAAATGAGAAAAGGAAAAAAAATATGGGTGAATAACAAATTATATTTTATCATTCTCACAAGGGGATGCAACAAAGTACCGGTGAGGTCACTGTACTCTTGTAGAGTTGTGGTGAGAGATTTTCCATGTCTTTTCCACCATAAAAAAGTAAAGCAAAGGTGTGAGGTTTGTTTGTTTGTTTCCCGTGAGAAGTCAAAATCTGTAAATATTTATGTATCGAAGTGGATGATGCTGCAGCCAGAAATCTGTGCCACTCCTGTTGCATGTTCCTTTTCCGGTAGCCAATTTCTGATCCAAAAGCAATGACAAAACCCAAGCTGTTTGAGAACTGGCTCTCTAGGCACACACTTTTACAGCATCATTTGGTATCATACACCTGTGCGAAGGCTCAGGGGAAGAAGTTTCTGTGAAAAAAACCGCTTG